TTCATCAGCAAAACAAAACAATCCTATTTCCAAACAGTGTCAGTTACAGATAGAGGGGTTAGGACTTCAGCATAATTTTTTTTGTGATACAATTCAATTAATAACAGAGCAACATGTTTGGGCATCTACCATGTGTTAGAGGCCTCATACCTGTTAATTCCGCTTCACTGCAACCTGGCTGTAGTTGTTAATTGTCACTGATTCTGACCTAAAGTGTAGAACTGCACAATGGGGCTCTCAAGGCTATGGCCTTTATGGAAACGGATCACCAGGCCTGTCTGCTGAGGCACACCTGGGTGGGTTCGACTCACCAACCTTTTGCTAATAGTAGAAAGCCAGTGTGCACCACCCTGGGGATGACAGCCTTAAAGGGAGGGCTGGTGTGGATGCTGCATAAACGTGGACACTGAGGTTCAGAGAGGAGCAGTGACTTGTCCAAGGTCACAGAACAAGGAACCAGCAGAGCATTGAGTCTTTTAGGCCCCAGATTCTGAGATTTAGAACAAACATTTGACATATTAATGGATCTGAACCATTCCTTAGATCAGATGTGGTGATGGATGACCTAGTGCCTGCAACACTGTACTCAGGGAGTTGGGGAATACGGGCAACCCTTTCCACCTCCATGTAACCAACTGCAGAGGAAGCAGGGACAGAAGCCCAGAGAGAGGACCCTCTTGCTCAAGGTCACCCAGCAGGCAGTAGTAGAAGCCCAAACGTCCTGCCCTAGGATCACACTCTCCTGGCTACCTCCCCTGGCTAAGGGCAAGGGCCAACATCCCTCTAGGGTTGTTTTGTCCTGAGAGAGTGGAAACTTCCAAAGTCTGTGACCTGCCATCAGGAAACCAGACAGGAGCAGGAATGTTCACCCAGTCCACAGACCTGGAGCCTGCGGCTACCAACTGTAATCCTGTCCTTTCAATACCCCTGCCCCTCGGGGGATATTTATCCTGCGGTCACTGACATGGTCCCCCTCCCAGTTAATCAACCAGAAGAGGGGGAGGCACCCAAGGACCCAGAGGTGCTGGCATTCCCACAGGACATGGAAGGTTAGCCAAGGCACGAGGGCCGCAGCACCAACGGTTGGGTTTCAAGTACCGTGCCGAGCTGGTGAGGAGGTCAAAGCCCTCAATGGCCAAAGCTGAAAGGATTCAATCTGAGGTTTAAATTTTATTATTATTATTTTTTTAAGTTTGAAACAAAATTCTGAGCACACCCACCCCAATTACCCTACCCCAGAGAGTAGTGAGAGCTGCGAGAGACACAGCCCCTGACGGTCAGGAACAGGCCAGACACACTCAGCCAGACCCTTGTGTGCACGTGCACGCACGCGCACACACACACAGCTGAGCACAAATAATGTCAGCAAAGAGCATTCTGTGACCACAATGATCCAAGATAAAGTCAAGGCCACTAAGTAACCACTGGGTGGTACAAACAGTTAAGGACGCAGTCATTAACTGAAAGGTCAGAGGTTCATGTCCACCCACATGCTCCTCTGAAGAAAGCCCTGGTGGCCTGCTGCCCAGAGATCTCAGCTGTGGAAAACCCCATGGAGCACAGGCCTACGCTGACACACACGGGCTTGCCAGGGGAGGAACTCTGATTGTTGTTAGGTAGTCATAGCTAAATACAGACAAAACCCAAACATTGTTTGTTGACGTTGTTGCTGTGTATGTCAAGTCAGAACCAACTCATAGCTCACGCTCCAGTGAGTTTTCAGAAGCTGTGAAGACTTCAGAAGACTGCTCGTCTTTCTCCTGTGAAATAGCTGGTGGAGTCAAACGGCACACCTTTGGGTTGGCAGCATGGTATCTTACCTCTAGGCTGCCAGAGCTTTAAACATTAAGGCCCAAGAATTACTCCTATACCTCCTTTTCTTGGTTAATCAGAGTAATGATTGTTTCTTTGGCAATTATGTGAAAACATGAGCCTGTGTAAGGCGGAAGCCCATCACAGAAGGAAAACGCAAGGACTTTCCATGAGTGGAGAGCAGTAGGAAAGTAAGAAGAGTGCAGACATTAAGGTGCAAAACTTGCGAGACCCTGACAAACAAAGGTATCCTGTCGCCTGCGGGCGTTTCCAGGTTTCATTGTGCAGCTTTACCTTGGTCTGTGTTTCCCTTTCAGTTAGTGTCGTTGTTGTTGTTGTTGTTGTTGTGTAACCAGTCAGAACCAGTTCACAGCTGACCCTCCAGGAAGTTTTCTGAGGCAGTTTGATTGCCCAGACCCAGTCACGGGATTACCCTTCTTCCTGACAGCGTCCAATCCCGAGCAGAACCCTATTTCCTTAAAAAAAAGCCACCAAAACCATGAACCAACTTGACCCCTTGACTCCATGTCACGGTGGTCCATGTATGTAAAAACTGAGCTCCGTCTAAGATGATTTTTCAGAAGCACACTGGCAGGTTTTACACCACCCAGGGGCTCTGCTTCCTTAATACCCTCCCACCAGCCCACATGCCTGTCACCCACATGCAGACTGTCTCCTCTCCCTGGTCCCCAAGTTACTTGTCTCCCTCGCTTAGTAAGCTCACCACACTCAACTTGAGGTGGACTCCTGCCAGTCTCTGGGAGATGATAGATGGCAGGTTAATTTCCTTAATAACTTGAAATAATGAGTGTACGCTGGAACTGTCCTGAGGGAATAGATGTGGGGTCTCTCGCTCTTGATGCTGCCTCTGCCCCCCAGAAGGACCCCCGAGACGCTGTATTTCTCCCTGCAGGATGAGGCAGCCAGAACCCTCATCCAACCTGGTTCTGCTTTGTTTTGGGAAAGCTCTGCAGTTCTGACACCACCCTCTTCAAATATGGGGGTTCCTGAGAGTCAACAGCCCTCAGTTAGCCTGTATGGTCACGCTAAGGATGTCACTGCAGCATTAACTTTCCAGAGAGGACCCTCTGTGCCAGCAGGGGTGATGGCTCATTTATCCTGCCCACAGGGGGAATGCCCAGTGTTTTGCATGGGAGAATTTGCAGGAGAATAAAGGTGACTCTTAGCCACTCGCAACCTTTTTTATTTCCGCCATCTGTGCTGGTGCCCTCTCTGATGCAGCTCACATGCTTCCCTGCCCTAGTGCCCATGACACATGGACATGACACATGGACATGCCCCATGGCATGCAGATGCACCACACCATACCTGTTCCCACATGAATAGGGGCTAGGAGCGGGGTGTCATGGATCACACAGTTGAGGGGATGTACCTTAGAGGCCATCTTCAGACAGAGGCTTTGATGCTGGAGGTAGAAAAGTCCTGAACAAGAAGGAGTGTGTTCCAGGGGTCTCACTCTTCTGACCAGCTACAGAAGGGCAGACCCTCCCACCATCCCCGACCAGAGAGACCTGGCCCGGATGCAGGTCTCTTAGTCCTGCTCACCCAGGGCAAGCTCTGCACATGCGAGCTGTCTGCAGTGATGTCACAGTTCCTTCCTCTGCAGTGCCACCATCCCCATGGTGGGCAGAGGGCCTTGCAGATACGTCTGTGGTGATGACTGCCCTGTAATGCTGTGGTGCCATGCACACTCAGGGCTTCTCAGCCCGCTGCTGCACAATCCACCGCACTCCGGCTGGCCCGGGATGTCTGTGAGGCTGCCCCTGCTGCCTCTGCTGTGTCTATTTTCAGCTCCTGTCTGCCACCTTGGCCTGTGTTCTGCATCCTGTCTCTGATGTAAATCAGGCCCCGTGGCTAGAGGCTGCTCTGCAATCCGAGGACGCTTGGTTTGAGGCTACCAGCTGCTCCATTGGAGGATGGGCAATCTCCTCTCATGTGATTAACAGCCTCTGAGAACCCGCAGGAGGGTCAGCTATGGGTCTGTTCCGACTCTACGGCACCTACAACTACAACATGAGAGAGCTCAGGGGGCCTAGTGGAATTGTGCTGCTAACCCAGAGGCAAGCAGTTAGAATCTACCAAGTGCTCTGCAGGAGAAAGATGAGCAATTTCCTCCTGTGTGATTTGAAAACCCACTCAATGGCACACAACCACAAGGCAACAACCACATTGGCGCCTCTTCCTCCTAGGGAACCGAGGTTAGAGTGTGGCACACAGCAGATGCTCAATAAAGAAATAAACTGAATTGGATTCGGCCAAGACTGGGTTTCATCCATATCAGTAAGCTAATGGGGACCTATTGTGTGGAGACTATGGGGCTCAGTTTTAAGGACTCTTGGCCTGACTTTGTTGACAATTAGACATGAGGTGTGAATGGCAGAGAGCAGGGGTTCTGTGAGTCTCAAACCCTTGGTGACCAGGGTCAGGCATGAGAAACACAGGGGAGTGAGTAAACAAAGATGTCCTCCTGCGTGGGAGTCAGCAATTGACCTCCAGGGGCCCATGTACAAAGGTCCAGAAGGCCAACTGCGGGAGTTTGAAAGAGACTTTCCAGGCAAGTAAGGGAGGAACAGGCATTCTGGCGGACGGTTTGGCTCAGGGTGGAAATAGCGGGTGTGTGAACGGTGGAGTGAGGGGCAGGGGCTTGGGATCTGCAGCAGAGCATAGGAGGTGAGGGACCAGGGACAAAATCAGGGTGGTCAGTAGCGCTCAGTCTCCGCAGAAGAGTCATGCGCGGACAGGGGCTGGGCGGACAGCGGCGGACATAGACTGCTCCGAGTGAAGGTGGTCACACCATCTTCCAGGTGGAATAAAAAGTCTCAACAAGGATCAGGGACGCTGAGAAGCCTCTGGGGGCGGGGGGGCAGGTAGCACCAAGGAAGGTCCCGTTCAGAGTCCAGCTTTTAGGGACAGGCCTGGCTGCTACATATCTCCCCCTCAAATCACAAATTCCTTTCAAAGTTTTGCCAAAGAAAACTCCCACTTGGCACAGCCAGGGTCATATGGTAACAATACCATCCCTTACGGTGGCAGCTCTTTACCCTTCTCCGAAGTGTGCAGGCATGTCATCTTATCTGCACACCTTCTACAGATCAGTGAAACAGGTCCTGTGAGGCCACTTGGGGCAAGAAGCCACATGAGGCTAACACCCTCAGGGCAGGTTAACCTCAGCCTTGGGCGTCAGGCTCAAAGCCTACTTCATTGTCCGGGAGGGGGTCCCCTGGTCCGTCAGGGAGCCCATAGTACAAGTCCTCTTCCTCCTGCAGCTCCTCCATGCCTGCGTCCGATGCCTCCTCCTCATTCATCCGAGGACGTCGCTGCCAGCAACTGGACAGAGCCGCGTCCTGCAGCCCCTCTGAGAGTACCTCCCCTGATGTGGGGGCGTCAATCAGAGCAAAGTCGTGGTAACGGTCGCCTTGGGACCTGCAGGCCCAGGGATCCTGGGGTGGTGAGCGAGGTTCCTCCCCGGAGGGTGGGGATGGGTTGGGGCTGCTGTCCTCGCTGGAACTCAGGTCCAGGTTTTCTTGGAAGGAGGCCAAGGGTGCAGGGCCCTGGGGACAGGCTGGGGGGCTGTAGGGACAGAAGCCACAAGGGCCAGGGGACTTCTGAGTCAGACTGCCTGAGTCCTGGCCACTAGCTTTATTAACCTCTCTGGGCCTCAGTTTCCTCCCCTATAAAGTGGGAAAGTAACAGTACACACTCCCAGGGTTGTTTGAAGGCTATAGCAGATGTGTGCAAGGCATTTCACACGGTGCTTGGCACAAAGCAGATGCTCGAGAAACAGAAGCCCTTACTATGTTTTCTCCAGGCCAAGTCATTCCCCCTCCTCTAGTCACTCAGTGGTCTCCAAGGGCTCTCAGGGCCCCATCACACAGGAGGGGACCCATGTTTTCCTCTCTCCCTTTCAGATTGGGAACTCCTGAAGGGTGAGGGCCAGTCCCAGGCCCAACACGGAGGAAGTGTCCAGTTGTGTTGATTGAATGACAGATAAATGAAGTCCATTTATAAACAGATAGGGGTGAGACGTGCATGGGGAGTGACTTGCTGGAGGTCACAGGGCAAGTCAGAGGTGGAGGTAGCATTTGCACTCGGGTCATCTGCTTCTTCCTCATCGTGCACAGTGGGCATTCTCTGATAGCAAGGCCCCACTGTGTGCCTGGGGTTTAAACACACAGCCCCACCTTGACAGCAAGCGTGTGCTATAGGAATAACTTACCAGGGGAGGAAACAGAGGCTCTGGGAGGCTAGGACCTTCGCCAAGGTAACACAGCAGAGGAACCCAGGCCTGTCTGAGTACTAAGCCCATATTCACTTGTTCCTCTACCCCCCCCTCAGTCTCCACTGTCCCCTGCTGCCTCCATATTTCCCCCATCACCATCACCCCACACCCCTTCCATCCCTATTCTACCTGAACAGTAGTTCTCCACCCTGCCCTCTGTGCGCTCACCTGGACCTGCCTTGAGCTGGGAGTCTTTCTCCCTCGTCCTCATCAGAGCCCCGGTGGACAACAACAGGGGCTTCCATCCAGGCCTGAGAGTCCGCGGGGCCTCCGCCCCCATCGCTGGCTCTGGGCTGCCGCGGCCCTGGCTCAGAGGCCAGCAGAGGGCGAGGGTCCTCACTGTAGCCCATGACCTTCATCTGGATGTGGCTAAAGTCTGGCAGGCTCTGGTCATAGGCAGCGTCCTCCCACAACCTGACGTAGGGGGGCTGGGGGCTGGAGGTACATGAGACACACGCACAGACAAGAGGAGAGAGAGAGAGAGAGAGTTAGTTTTACTCAACAGATATCCCTCTTTCTGCCTGCTCTGCTTGCTTCAGGCATCCAGTCTCCTCTTAGCTCCCAAGAAGCATCTTGGGGAATCATTGTGCCTATTTTGGCATAAGCAGACCAAAGCACTGAAAGGCTAATAAATTAAGTGGTAAAGCTTGGACATATTCCACTTGCTGCCTCTAAAGTCAGTCAGGAAAGTGTGGTTGTGGCGTTAAGGCGAATCAACACTACATTCCAACTTATGGCTAAAGGCCACGTGCTCTTCACATCACTGACGCAGAACACCTAGGTGAAGACATTTCCCTCCCATTTTACAGACGAGGACAGAATCACAGTAGTAGCCGAGTTACTGAGAATATCAGGTGAGCTGGGATTTGTTCATTCACTCCTCTTATCTTCACCACTTCTCTGGTGGATCCTGTATAGAAATTGAAGGGTAGAGACCTTACGTGGCTAGCTCAGGGTGACTAACATATTCTTAATTACTGTGCCCCTCAGAAAATAAAGTACAAAGCCTTGTACAAGGTAGCACAGCTGGGAAGCTAGAGATGGGAACCCAGGGACCCCTGTACCCCAGCTCTCACTAGCCAGCCATAACCGGACCCTCTGGAGAGCATGGGTTGGCTCGGGCCTGCATCTAGGCTCTACCCCGATCATTTCTAGAGGACGTTTGGCAGCTCTGTGCGTGAAGAGCCAAACACGTCGCCTCCGTATCTTCCTCAAGCAAAGCAGAGAAGCCCGGAACCCAAGGCCACAGACCCTGAACCGGGCTCCTTGAGCCGCTGAGGATGGGGGATGAACTAGGCCCACCAGGGTTAGCAGGTGCTACTGTCTCCTCAGGGCTGAAGGGCCGTGGGCTGTGCCTGGAGAAACCCGGGCTTAACGATTTCAGGACGGGCAGGGCTGGCGCCAAGCCCCACCTCCATCACTGGCTCCCCATGAGGTTTTAAGCCTGTGATGAATCTCTCTGAGCCTCAGTTTCCACGTATGTCTAAAGGATCTGATATTCCCTCCTCTGCTAAAACTTCCATGAAAGAGGTGGGAGATGCACTGTCGGACCCGGCGTCTGGTACACATCTATGCCGCGCACCACAGTCTGTTCATGGTAGTCTGCGTGCATTATTTCACATCACCCTCCAACACCCTGGAAGCGAAATACTATTACCAATCCAGCAAGCTAAACCCACTGTCCTTGAGCCGATTCCCACTTGTGGAAACTGTAGGATTCTATGGGGTATATAGTCTCTCAGGAAGCAGATCAGCAGCTCTTCCCTCCACAGCACCGCGGTGTACTGAACTGCCAGACTTTAGTCTCAACGTGCTGTGGAGTCAGCTGACGTCATAGCAACTCTATGAACAACGGGTCTGAGCGCTGCCATACCCCATGCCATGCTCACCATCTCTGATAAACTTGAGCCCCTTGTTAGTTACTGTGTGAATCTATCTCGTTGAGGGCCTTCCTCTCTTTCGCTTGCTGTCCTTTCCCAAGGGCCAGCTCCTCCTAACAACAGGCCCAAAATATGTGAGACAGAGTTTCAGCATCCTTGCTGCAAAGGAGCACCCTGGCTGTTCTTTCCCAAAGACATACTTGTTTGCTCTTTTGGCAGTCCATGGGACATTTATTTCTCCAACACCACAACTCAAATGCAATGATTCTTCGGGCATCTTTTGTCATTGTCCAACTTTAAGATGCATAAAAAGTCATTGAAAAGACCATGGCTTTGAATCAGAAGCCCTTTAGTCTTTAAACTGATGACATTGCTCCTTCACCCTTTAGAGAGATGCTTGACAGCAGATTTATGCAATGCAGTATGGCTTTGATTTCTTGATTGCTCATACCAAGGGTGTTAATTGTGGATCCAGGTAAAATAAAATTGCTGACAACTTCAAACTTTTCTCCATCTATCATGATGTTGTTATTATCATAGAGGTGAAGATTTTTGTTGATTTGAGATGTAATTAGTACTGAAGGCTGTAGATTTTAATCATTTGTAGCAAAAGCTTCGAGCCCTCTTTGCTTTTCGCAAGCAGGTTGTATTATTTGCAGTTTTTGATGAGTCTACCTCCAATCTTGATGCCACACTCTTCTACATAGAATCTAGCCTCTCAAATGATTTGCTAGGCATGCAAATTGAATAGGTATGGAGAAAGGATACAGCCCTGATGCACACCTTACTTGATTTTAAACCATTCAGTGTTCCCTTACTCTGTTCAGACAATAGCTTCTTGTTCTAAATATAGATTTCACATGATCACAATTAAGTGTTCTGAGATTCCCACTCTTCTCAGCGTTAGCCATAATTTGTTATGGTCTGCACAATCAAATGCCTTTGCATAGTCAATGAAACACTCTTCTGGTATTCTCTGCTTTCAGTCAAGGTCCATATAACATCAGCAATAATATCCCTGGTGCTACATCTTCTTCTAAATCCAGTTTGAGTTTCTGGCAATTCTCTGTCAATGTACTGTTTCAGCTGTTTCTGGATAATCTTCAGTAACATTTTTTTGCATGTGACATTAATGATATTGTTCTTCTTGTTGTTAAATGCCATCAAGTCGGAGGCAACTCATAGTGACCCTATGAACGAAAGACCTGGACACCTGTGTAACTTTTGTCCTTTCCCCAGGTTCATAGTGTTTCCTGAGGCAAGCTATTACGGAAGTGAATGCCACTCCTGTTTCCAAGCTTGTTTTAATCAGGGAGCACCACCAATCACTGTCCACCATGGGTAACTATTCTCACATTTGACACATTAGTGCCACAATGTTCAGCTTCACAGCAACCATGAGTTACCTCTGTACAGCAAATGGACATACCAGGGCTATATGACCTAGAAGAATGTTTCACCAAAAACAAGTAAAGGCAGACCCAAGGACTGTGGATTAGTCACCCACCTTTGGCTTGGGAGCATGACTTTCTGTCCACTAGGCCAACTGATCTCTCTCTACGTATTAATGATGTTACTCGATAATTTATACATTCTGTTAGATCACCTTTTTTTGGGGGGAATGGAAGCAAATATAGATCTCTACTAGTCAAATAGCAAGGTAGCTGTCCTGAAAATTTCTTGGCATAGTCTGGTGAGCACATCCAGGGCTGCATGTGTTTGTTGAAATACTTTAATTCCTATCAATTCCTGGGGTCTTATTTTTCACTAGTGCCTCCACTTCATAGACATTTCAACACTCAGAGGCCTCAGTATCCTCACCTTATAGATGGAGTATAAAACAAGATAAGTTGTTGCTCAAAGTCACATAGCTCCTAAGTGGCCAAGCCCCAGGGTCTGTGCCTTGACTTGTTAGTCACAGGGGATGTTATACATGTGAGGGATTTAGGATTAAACCTGCTTCTGAAGTCTCGTCAGGCTCAAATTCACTGCAAGACTCTATTTTGTCCCTACGAAGATAAAGTCCCTGAACCTCAATTTCCTCCTCTGTAAGTTGGAATCAAATGCGTAGAACTGAAGTTTCAAAGCAATGCTGTCATGCATTGTTTTATTTCATGTTTCAGGTATTCCTTTGATAACAAGTAAAGTCTGCATCAGGAAGCCCACCTATCAGGCCCATTTCCCCAACAAGTGACTGTGTGCTCACTTCCTGTCTCTGTGTCACATTTTGGTAATTTTAATAATATTTCTAACTTTTGCTTAATACTATTATTGCATATCTAATAGACTACAGAACAGTGTGAATACAACTTTTACATGCACTAGGAAAGCAAAGGTTTTGTGTGACTTGTTTTTTTGTGATACTCACATTATTGTGGTGGTTTGGAACAGGACCTGGGCATCCCTGAGCTGTGCCCGTGCATGGCTTCCAAGCACACAGTCTCAGGAGGTGGCCCGAGGGGAGGAGACACCCCGCCGTGGCCCCTCCCCTGCAACCTCCTTTGGAAGGGCACCCCAGCACCTACCTCTTCATCTCAATGCTCAGCTTGTTCTCCAGCAGTTCCAGCGCCTTCGCCTTCGGGGACAGGACGCCCTGAAATTCGGAGTCTGCGGGCACAAAGGCAACCTGGAGGGAAAGAGAAGACAGTGCCCAAGTCTGTAGGAACTGGGATGCCATTTCCGAGTAATCAAACTTCGAGCACCTTCTACAGCAGATGTGCCAGTGGGCAAGCCCACCGAGGAGATCTTGTTCAATTCCTGAAGTTGAGTGTGACAGAGGAAGATGAATCAGGAGGGACGCTGACATTATCAGCTGAGGGGAGGGAGGTGAGAATGAGTGAAGGATGGGGAGTGGAAAGGTGTTAACCGTCCTGTGTTTCTGAGGTGGGAGCTAGAAAAACCCCTGCGGCAGATGAAGGCCTCTGAGAAGGACACACCCATCAAATCCCAATTAGGAGCCTGGTCCTGGGCTTCAGGGGAGCAGGCAGGAGGTGCCTGGGGTACCTGATGGTGGAGACAGAAGCCAGATAGGGGAAGGCTGTGGTGGAGGGGAAGGCTGTTCTCTCCACTTATCCTTTACCTGTTCTCATCTCTCCTAGTTTCTACAGCCTTGAGGGTAAATTCTGCCATGGTCTAGATCACCATTATATCTCGCCTGGACTAGAAAAGATGCTGCCCTATTTCCTCCTCCCAGCTGCCACTGGAATAAGCTTCTCACACTGTACTACTGATTATGTCCCTCTCTTATGGTATCAACTAAGAAGAAGAAACAGATGCTCAGAGAGGACCTCAGGTCTGGGTCCCTTTATCTTCTTGCCCCCGCCCCCCTCCAGTAGTCACGCTAACTCATCCGTGCTGTTCGTTCACAAATGTGTCTTGAATCCCACCACTCTTTCTGTCTGGAATATATTTTCCATCTTCTCCATGAACTTCCATTTCACTCGCAAAGCCCAGTTCACCTTCCCTGGGCGCCTTGCTCTTCTTCCCATCAGACAACATTGTCTGCCCCACTAAATTCCAATTCTACCACTTTCATTTTTATATTTAAAGACATCAGCACCAGTCGCCATCGAGTGGATGCTTCTTCGCAGTGATACATGTGCCTCCTGGTAGAATTTTACTCCATAGTTTTCAGTAGGTGGTTTTTGAGAAGAAGATTGCCAGGCCTTTCTTCTGTGACATCTCTGCTTGGACTAGAACCTTCAGCCTCTGAATTAGCACCCACAAGTGTTAACTGCACCACACAGGGACTCTTCCTCAAAGACAGGGCTTAGCTCTTGTTGGTCTCTGAAACCCTCATGCCCGTAGTTATTGGTTCGTTCTAGTTCCTTCGATTTCTATTTCTCTCAACTGGAGAATTCCCACTTAATGAAGCTTCATGTAAGTCTAGCACTGAAAATTAGGGCAGAGTCCTGAGGAGAGGGCATTTAGTGGAGGCCACGCTGAAGACCCTCCACTTTCCCAAGCTTGATGTCTTCTTCTAAGGACTAGCCCCTCCAGACAACATGCCCAAAGTATGTGAGATGAAGTTTCACCATCCTCCATCTAAGAAGCACCCTGGTTGCACTTCTTCCAAAACAGAGAGAAGGTCAGTGAAAGAGAGAGGAAGACTTTTAATAAGACGGATCAATGCAGCGACTGCATCAGTGGGCTTGGGCATGGTGGAGATTGCGAGGGTGGCACAGGACAGGGCGAGGTTCAAAGTGGTTGGTCAGAGGATCACTATGAGTCATCGTTGACTTGATGGGCCCCAGCAGCGGCACCACCACACTGAAGAGAGAAGGCAGGTGCCAGGGCACCTCATATTCCTCAGTGCCTCCCTGACTGACAAGCAGTTGCCCCCTTCCTTACTGCAGTGCACGTGTGACAACTCCTGTAGACTATCTTCCCAAGTGCAAACTCTCTCTCTCTCTCTCTCTCTCTCTCTCTCTCTCTCTCTCTCACACACACACACACACACACACACACACACACACACACCATTGCACCCACTCGTCTACACATACAAAGAGTCATATCCAATTCTGTAAATGTCAACCTGATGTCAGGGACCCACAATCCCACCTCCATGACCTCTCTCTCTCAGCTGTTGAAGCCTGAGCCTCCCCAGACACCAGAACAGACACTCAGGGGGAGCTCACGCTGCCAAGGTCACAGAACGAGGCAGAGGGAGCAGGGGTTTGAATCTGGGCCACCAGACACTGAAGCATGCCGTTTCCACGCCGTCCACAGCACATGAACTCGTTGCTCCATCAACAGTTACTCATTAAGTGCCGGCAACAATCCTGTCTCCTTCTCTCCCTCAACCCCCAGTCCCAGTCCTGTCACTCTGCCCCCTTTAGGACACCAAAGCCACCAAGGTAAAGGGGAAGGGACAGGAAGGATGCTGCTCCTCTCCACATCCAGCCCTCTCTGTGACCCCAGGGGGCAGCCTCCTCACAGGAGAAGGATGTCCGTCTGTGGTGGAGGCGAGGTGGGTGGCACCACACCAGGACCTCTTCTCCCTGTGACCTCTGCTCAGGGCACTGCACAAACAGAAGTGAGTTGACTGTAAACTGCTCAGTAAATGACCACAAACCAGCCCAGACCGCTCCAGCACCGGTTGCCGACAGCCAGCCCCAGGTTGGCCCACACACCGGGCCTGGACTGGGGAGGCCTGTGCCCCCTGAGCCCCTCCCTCTTTCCAAACCCCTAAGCAAAGACACCCAAGCAGGAGGTGAGGAGGACACTGTGGGTGCTGGAGGCTGCCTGGATCCTGGAGTCCGAGACGACAGGTCCAATAGAACCTTTAAATGCACCCTTTTCTGCCTCCCCCACCCTGACCCTGGTGTTGTGCAGATGAGAAAACTGAGGCCCAGAGGGCTTGACTTAAGTCTTCAGGCAAAGAACTCAAGCTAGAATCCACATTTTTCTTCTTGCTTCCTTGCTGTGTGACCTTGGAAAAGTCTCTTGACCTCTCTGGGTATTGACACCCATCAGTCTCCATGTTCCAAATCCTGATATGCTCATTCCACAGGATGATTGAGAGAATCAATAATAAAAACCACGGACAGTCCTGCACCTATGTAAAATGCTTGACAGTTTACAGAACATGTATCTCCTCTTGTATGTGATCTTCATAACAGCACTGTATGCCTGGAGAAATAGGGCCTGGAGGCCCATTTTGCAGATAGAACGATGGAAGTTCAGAAAGACAAAGGTTACAGAGAAGTGAACAGCATTGAAGCTAGCAGCCAGGTTTCAGACTCCCACACCACTGCTCTTCCCACCATTAACTACGCACAAGGCCGAAAAGACTACAAAGATACACAACCTCAAACCAGGTTCCAGCTCCGCTCATCCCTGTTCAAGCCCTGTGCTGAGAATTTTGTTCCATTTCCACTTAAGACATTAAATCAGAGTTTTCATGCCAATAAGATCTCCAAATCTTCCAAGTGTGTGTGTAGATCTTTCGTGTGTGTGTGTGTGTGTGTGTGTGTGTGAGAGAGAGAGAGAGAGAATATGGATGGCTAGGAGATCTTGTTAAAAGGTAGATTCTAATTCCGTGTACCTGTTGTAGAAAGGTGAATTCTCAGCAGGGGGTTGAACCAGAATGAGCTGGTTGGAAGCCCTGCCCCAAATTCATGTCATCGGACTCCACTCCTGTACTCTGGCCACTCTGAGACACACACAGCCCTCCTTCCGAAGCGGAAGGTTAGTCCTTAGTCACATCAACCGGAGCTCCAGCTCAGCCTTCTGGGTCTCTGGCTTCTAGATTATAAAATGGAGCTTGAGAAGATACTGAGACGCTGAGGCTGAGGCTTGAACTCCACCAGAAGCATGCAGGGCCTGGCAGGTGGTAAGCATCCAACAATATTTGCTTTGAGGATATGGGTTATGGGTTGTGCTTCATCGGGTCTCAGCCTCAGTCAGGTCCAAGGGACTTCTGGTCAGTCCTTATGACATGTGGATGGGAGGGTGATGGCTGGGAAAAATGGGTGGAGGGGAGAGTGGAATAGAAAGGAATGGAAGATGCTCAGGAGAACAGAGAAGAGAGGAGGGGGTCAGGATGAAAAACTAGATTGCAGATAGGGACTGATGTGTGCACCGTCACTGCCTACCTTAGGGTAGCACTGGCACATGCTCCAGACGACACCCCCAATCACCATGACACTGCCCATGGCGTAGAAGGTCCCATAGACCTGGGGCCGGTCGTGGCTCATGAGGAACGTGCCGAGGGCCAGCAGGAAAAGGCCCAGGATGATGAAGCCGATGCGGAAAGTCTTCTCCTCTGCCATGGCAGCCCCACTGCCCTTGGATCTTGTGCCCCCACGGAGGGGGCGTCAACAGACCTGCTGAACGCTCACACCAGAAGCGAGGAAGCTCTGGGATCCCTGCAAATTGAGGACTACAGCCAGAGCAGGATCCCTTTTGGTCCAGCTCCACCCCCCAGGGGCCCACTGGTTCAATGGAGCTGGAGGTGTCACGCTTCAAGGGACCTGTGCACCCACCCACCCACCCACCTTCACTCCTGCCTTTCACCTTCCCTCTGGGCCCAGGTGGCAATGTGTGTGTGAGAGTCCGAGCAAGGGAGGGTGCAGGGGAGGGAGAGGGGAGGTTATCCCAGCTGGGCACCAGCCAAGGCCTTGACATCACCTCATTTGCCTAGCGTGGGACTGAGCTGCGTAAACACATGGCCCCTGCCTTCCAGCCCTGGGGGGAAAGGCACAGTGATGCAGCTAAAAGACACCCACAGTCCCACTGGAGGGCTCCAGGATCCTTCAGCAGGTGTTCTAGAGTCCTAAAGAATGTGGTGACGCTTCAGGGTCATGTACCCAACTAGGATTTGGGCATAATAAACAGTATTGATTGAATGGATACTGTGTGAGTGACACTGTTTTACACATAAATCAGGATCGGCTCATTTAAGGGGAAACCTGTGAGGCAGGCATTCCGTCCTCCTTTTACACATGAGGGGACAGAGGCATAAGACGAGTAATTTACCGAAGGTCTCACAGCTAGTAAATGTCAGAGCTGGGATCTGAACCTAGACCACAAGTCCCAGAGGCAGCCATGCTGTGCTGTTGAGTTGATTTGGGCTCAGAGTTACCCTGGAGGATGCAGCAGAAGTGTCCTTGGGTTGCCCAAAGCTGGAATCTTGATGGAAGCAGATTGCCACTTCTGCCTGTCATCAAGTAGCTGAGGGGTTCAAACCCCTGACCTTCTGGGGAGTAGCAGCTGAGCTTAGCCACAGCACCATCACACCCCCTTGTTGCCTAACTGTAGCTCCAGGGTTAAAAGTGCCTCCAGAAGAGGAACATGCCCAGGGTCAGCAGGAAGAGACCCAGCCCTGTGAAGTCAACGTCAGACTTTCCTCAGACATGGCTGCCCACCTGTCCTGGCTCTGGCATGAGCACTGGTCCTGGCTTGTCCACTAGGAGGCAGGGTGGTCTTGGTCAATGCTATGCCTGTGTCTCAGTTTCCTGCCTGTCCTTTCTCATATTTTGTGATCCTTCTACTCCTGCCTGCAACCAGCCACTCCTAGTTCTAGGTGTGAATGACTGACCGTGATGCCCTTGCCTCCTAACCTAGGATTGTTGTTAGTTGCAATACGCTGCCCTCAAATCACAATGACGCTACATGGTGGGACAACATGCCATCCAGTCCTATGCCAGCTGCATGGCCAGGATGTTGTGATCCACAGGGGTTTTTTTACTACCTGATTTATGCCTCTGAAAGCTGGACAATGAATAAGGAAGACCAACGAAGAATTGATGCCTTTGATACCTTATACCTCATGCCAAAAGAACAAGCAAATCTGTCTTGGAAGAAGGTAACCAGTGCCCTTTAGAGGCAAGCATGGTGAAACGTCATCTCTCATACTTTGGGCACGTTTTCAGGAGGGCCCAGTTCTTATTAAAAGACATCATGATGTGAGAAGTAGAGGGTCGGTGAAAGAGGAAGACCCTCAATGAGCTGGGTTGATGCTGTGTCTGTAACAACGGACTTGAGCGGAGATTGTGAGGATGGTGCAGGATAGCTCAAGGTTCAGACCTGTTATCCATATGGTTTCTGTGAGTTGTAACGGGCTCAATGGCTTTTAACAACAACAATTTATGCAAGTAGATCACCAGGCCTTTCTTCCTAGTCCAGTTTATCCTGTAAATGCCCTGGAAATTTGTCCAGCACCATAGTGGCACACAGCGCCACCCACAGGCAGGTTGTGGCTGTACATGGTGATCAAGAATACAATTGCCTCCCACGTGGAAGGTGAGAATTTGACTACTGAGCCACCATCATTAGCAGAACAACTCAGAGTCATTTCAGTCCTGGGGAAACAGCTGATGGGGAAACGAAAACTATCAGCATCACCAGAAGAAAGAATTAACTTGAGAAAGGAAAGGAAATATTTAGTAAGGGGACAAACAATACAATATTACTAAAGAAAGGAAAAATGCCACCAGAAGCTCTGCTGGAGAATGAGGAACAACCTCCTCCTGTGCCGTCAGACGTCAGATCAGATTTGATGGCACGTGCGTGTGCACACACACACACACACACACACACACAAATAATAATAAAATAAAATTTAAAAAAAAATTTAAAAAGAAAGGGAAGATGGAGAAAGTGTGATTTCATTGTGGATATTGACGTTAACGTTCCTGGCCAAAATGTGTATGATTGGTTGAATGAGAAGGTAAATGGTTTTGTATACAGCCACTCAAATCACCTTAGAAAAACAAACATTAAAATAAAACTTAACAGACACACGCACATAAAACCCCCAGTAACTTGTAGTTTTTACAAGGCAAGGTGAAAGACCTTCCTTTGACTTCCTGACTAGCTACGCTTGGAGATTTTCCTGTTTGTGGTTATCATCTCTCCTCTCCTCACAGCTGTGTTTGCTCCCTAACACAGCATTGATACCCCGTACCCTGCGTCTGGTGTTTTTGTTTCCATAAACATTACCTTTTTCAAATGAGGATGGTATTAAGTTCAGAAAAGAGAAGCAATGAGTGCAAGTTCACCCTGATGGTGTCTTTACATGGAAAGTAAGCCAAGGTTCAAAGTGACCAAGCCTCCGAGTCTTCCCTGAACAGCGGAATCATAGCCGCCTTTGCGTCCAGCCTGGGTTCTCTTGCGCCACCTGGTGGTCATCGTAGGAAGAGACGCCCAGGCAGGCACAGCCGGAGTCAACACCTTTGAGTCCTGTCTCCTCTGCGCAGCCTCTTAATAGCGCGGGATCAGGATTATAATCTTCATTTCACAGACCTGAAAACTGACCCTGAGGAGTGTCACAACGAGCCAAAATCTCCAAGTGACTTGGCAGCGAATGTTAATAGGGGACAGGAACCCCAGGCACCCCCTAGCCCCAGTGTGTACAGATCCAGTCCTTAATCTCTTTTTGAGCCTCATCTACTCTACTTCCCTCCACTTTTTCTTTCCTCCTCACGATACAGTCTCCTTAGCCCCTTTCCTGTCTCAGTCATTTCTCCTCTTTTTAAGAAAAAAATAAAAAGGTGCTCCGTGAAACAGACCAAATCCAACTCGTCCACAGAATCGTGGTGAGGATCGAATTGGGAAGTGGTGTGTCCTGTGCTTCCAAAACTTTGCAGTTTCAGTGTTTTCTCTCCCGGGACTCTCTTACCCGCCCCGCACCCACGCCCAGCCCCCTGCATTCGCTCTGACTGACTTGATTTACAGCAAAGGGGAGGCAGTGGGAGAAGCCGGGCGTGGTTGAAGAGTCACACATTGTCCAGCAGAGGAAGACCTTGGGAACCTTCTAGTGAAACCCTCATCCTGAATAGCAGAGGCAGGGAGGAGGAAATATCACAGACTTTTCACAGGTGTAGAAACTGAGGCTTCTGAAAGCACAGTAGGCAGGCAACCCAAGGCCTCACGCGGTATAAACGGCCGAGCCCTGGCTCGAACCAGGTGCTCAGCCAGCCATTCACTGTGTACCCTAAAGCCCCTGGGATGTGAGACGCTAACCATGGGGCCTCAGAGACCAATTCCCTCAGCACTACCTTCTCACACAATATGGCAGTGCTCTAAAATACATGTGAGGTCCAAAATGTGCAGGATTAGAGGGAAGGACAGACTGAGGGCACAGATTCACAGAGACTCTTGAGATTCAAATTTGCTTGAGAAGGAAGTTGGACTTCACCTGACAGCAGGAAAAGTAGTCCAGGAAACAGAAGCATGTGCAAAGAAAGTTACAAAGAGGTGTACTTACAAAGGTGCAAAGAGGCATGCAGCACCAGTATGAGCTGAGCTTGTTGTTATGTGCTGTCGAGTCACCTACGACCCACAGCGACCCTATGTCCTAAACTCTGAACCCTGCCCTGTCCTGAGCCAGTCTCACTAATTCCTACACATCAACCCTCATTGCCCAGCTGAGGAGAAAGTTCTGAAAACTGTACACACACTCTGCATTGTATACTCCCTCCTTACATCTGCTTCTCCCACATCATTCTTCCAATGTCATTCTTCCAGTTAGTTATCCAGGCTTCCTAGCTGGGTATCTAAGCTACTATCTTCACTTCCTCACTCACATCTATGGTCTTCTAAAGTACGAGATCGTTCCTCCCCACTCCCACTACTGCTCATCAGCCTGACCTGAACCCTCATCACTTCTTTCAGTTCTTACCCTGACCACTTCTCAACCCAAGTGTCAAGTCAGATAAGTCACATCTGTGCTTAGAACCCTGGGGTGGTTCTCTCCGCCTTATCAGCAATTGTGAGGATGGTACAGGATGGAGCAAGGTTCAGATCTGTTATTCACAGGATCACGATGATGAGTTATAGTCAACTTGAAGGTTCATAACAACACCACATATCAAAGAGCTGACAAAACCCAAGATAAAACCCAAGATGATACGCCGATGACCACCTACTACCTCTCTGAGTTTGTATCTCTGTGTGTCCCCATTCACTCGCTCCATTCAGCCACACTGACTGCTTGAACACACAGGCACCCGAGGGCCTTCGTACCTGCTGTTCTTTCTACCTAAAAAGTGTCCCATCCAGTCATCAGCCTGGCTCCTTCCATCACCTCCTCAAGTCTTTGCCCAGATGCCACCGTCCTAGTGAGAGCTTGTCCAAAGGAGCTCTCTAAAATTGCTAAGCCCCTACCCTAGTCGTTCCCTGTCTTCCTTTCCTGATTTATTTTTCTCCTATTACACATGACCATCTAGCTGACTATACACAAGCATTTATCTTTTTTTTCTTGTCTCCAACATTCAGAACTCAGGCTCCCATAGTGAGGGCTTTGCTCATGGTTGTATCTGCCCAGCTAGAACAGGTTAGAATAGCCTCTCAATGCATGTTGGTGAATAGCTCAGCTTATTGTTTTTAAAAGAAGGTTCTGGTGGCCTTGTGGCCAGAAGGTGCCCTGCAATCCAATCCCTAAGGCACACGCTTTGAGGCCATCAGCTGCCTCAAAGAAGGAAGGGCATTTTCCTGCCGTGTGATTAACTGCCTCTGAAAACCCGCTGCAGGGTCAGCTACGGGCTGGTTCCGACTCCACAGTACACAACAACAACGTTGTCTTTAAGCTCATCTGAACTATGGCGCCCCCATTTGATACAAGGTAGAAATGCTCCATGGGATTTTCTTTTGTGTTCTCCACAGAGGATGATCACCCAGCCTTTCTCCCATGGTGCCTTTGGGTAGGTTCAAACAACCAATCTTTAATTAGGAGTTAAGTGCAAAGTGTCTTCGGCACTCAGGGATTATATCTATTCATTGTTGTTGTTGTTGTTGTTGTGTACCATCGCGTCAGAACGTACTCATAGCTGACCCTTCAGCTGGTTTTCCAAAGTGGTAAATCACACATGATTATGCCCATCTCTCTCCAGCAGAGAGGCTGATGGATTTGAACCTCATGCTTTTGGGTTGGCAGGGCAACTCTTTACCACAAAGCCACCAGACAGTGGACTGAAGAGCCAGGTGAAAATGAAGTGAGAAGGAAGTTCAGGCAAGAAAGGCCTAGGAGTCATGCTTGAAACACAGCAAAGGGATTATCTAGGAGGGCAACGTGGATGAGATTTTAATTTTGGAAAGATCCCTGGGTTCCAATATTACTGTGGAAGAAGGAGGACAAGGTTCTGGGAGTAAGGAACAGTTGCCAGGCTCTATCAGCAGAAGCTGGAGCAGGAAAAGATTGAAGCAAGCAATGACATCTTACAGTTGGCGTCCAACGAGTGGTAAGGGAGAGTGGGGTGCATTAGTTTAAGGTGCAGAGCTTGGGATGGAAAGAGGGCAGGGCCACCAGCAAACCCAGGAGGGTAACCAAGCCCAAGAGAGGCCCTGGGAAGTGTGGAGTGAGCCCTGACGTCTGAGGCCTAGGTGTCCAGTATCAGATGCAGAGGTGAGTGAGGAGTGAAAAAACTGGACAGTTGGGACCAGAAAAAAAGAATCCGGAATACAAGCTGTTGTTGCTGAGTGGTGACCTGCCTCCATTTGGTTCCAAGACCCCTTCCAGTCAGTGCACTCGACACTCCCTGCCACAGCCTGACCACTGGCCTCGGTTGGCTGTGTCTCTTCCCCAACACACAGGTGACACCAAGCCACCTCCTGACCCCACTGCCCTCATCTGGGAAATAAAAGCACTGGATTCACTGATTGCTGAGAACTTGTAGACAAACTGGTGCAGACAAAAATGAAAAAAAAAAAAAAATAAGGCCGTTCCAGCCTCCCAGCCTGGCCACTTCCAGCTCCACCTGGCGAAAGTGGAGCCTCCAGGTCACACCTGCTACATATTAACCCACCTGCCTCCTGGGAAATTCCTCACTTTAAGGGCAGGAGGACAGGAGAGCTCTGTGTCCCAGGCAGGGAAACCATTAACTCTTTAGGGATTGTGTAGTGGATGGGGAGACCGAGGGGAGGGGGTGTGTGGGGGGTGCATGGTGTGTGTGTGTGTGTGTGTGTGTGTGTGTGTGTGTGTGTGTGTGTGTTTCCAAGCCTCCTTGGCAGTTCTAATCTACCAGCTGCTTCATGGGGGCAGGGGGGATGGGCAGTCTTCTCTCTTGCAATTTATATGCTGGAGGGTCAGCTAGGAGTCAGTTTTGACTCTGGAAATGAGTGAGTCTGAGAGCATGTGTTTGACTAAGCTCCAGGTCAGTCAGCAAAATAGCAGCAGAGGCCAGATTGGAAACGACCTCTCCTGGCTCCTGGATAGGTCTGGGTGGGACTGTAGACAACAGTAACAGGAGAAACAGAGCAGAAAGGAGGGAAGATGTGGGGTCCAGGAAGAGCTCCAGGTTTCTGCAGCAGGAGTACGAGAAATACATAAAGCCTCACTATGAGCACCCGTGTGGACAGAGGCAACCACGTACCAGGACACAGTCAACAATGATGATACCAACCAACCGATTGCTTTGTGGTCACTTCTGACTCATGGTGACCATATGTATCAGAACTGTCCTCCACAGGTTTGTCAGTGCTCATTTCTTTTAACATGTTGCCACATCTTTCTTCTGAGACATGTCTGGGTGGACGCAAACCACCTGGCATTTGTGGATCATTAGTTTAGTCACAAGTATCTACTGAGTGTCTTTCATGAGCCAGATCCCATTTTTAAGTTTTAGGCTGTGACTACAAAGGAAGGAAACAAAAAATATCACCTGAGTAGGGCAATAAGCAGTCAGATAACACCTTTGGTACCAAAAGTTAGGAAATCAGGAGATGTATGGCACTGGGAAAGGCTGCAGTTAGGGACCTCTCCAAATTATGGAGGAGTAAGGATGTCAGTTTGAGGATTAAAGTGCATCTGATTTAGGCCATGGTCTTTACGATCACCTGCTATGTATCTGAGAGCTGGACAATAAATAAGGATAACAAGAAGAATTGATGCCTTTGAGTTATGGTACTGGAGAAGAGTCTTGAACAAACCATGAACTACCAAGAAAACAAACAGGTTTGTCTTGGAGAAGGAGAAGGTTGGTGTGGCAGAATTATTGAGACTGGCTCAGAACAGGTCAGGATTCAGAGCTGCTATACATATGGTTGTTATAGGTCAAAGGCAACTCAGTGGCACTTTGCAACAGTTTTCCTTTTTATGAAGTAGGGCCTGATGCCACAGTAATTCCTAATTCCCATTTTACCAATGAGAAAACGGAGGCAGAGTAAGGAAAAGCTATTTATTCAAGTCCCGAACTGGTGGGTGGTATAGAGTTCATGCTCAAATGGTGTGATTAAGAGCCCTTGGCTGTAAAGTGTGACCTTGGACTAGTCCTATTTCAACCCTGGGTCTCAGTTTTTTAATTTATATTACAAAGGAGCCCTGCTGGTGTAACGGTTAAGTGTGCAGTTGTTCATCAAAAGCCTGGTAGTTGGAACCCACCAACCAGCTGCTCTGAGGGAGAAAGGTGTGGCTGTCTGCTTCTGCAGAGACTCAGCGTTGGAAATCCTCTGGAGCATTTCTACTCTGTCCTACAGGGCTGCTAAGAGTCAGAAGTGATTCATTGGCAGTGGGCTTGGTTGTTTTGGGGGGAGGGGTTCTCCACAAAAGCCTGCAGGTTGCCTGCCACGTGAGTGCATCATCTTAGACATCAAGCCTTCCAAATGACTGAAGCTTACGAACACCACTCAAAAGTGAAGAACCAACCGGCTGATCCCAGGCAACTCAAATCATGAGCATAATAAAATGGGAGTAATTTTAAAGTGCTGTTTTGGGTGGTTTTTATTACACAGCAACGGAGATACAACAAACATTCCACCACAACAAACATTAATTGAATCCTTGCTGTGTACCAGGCACTGCTCTGGACCCAGGAAGAGGTGCCGGCAGTTCTGTTCTCTGGAATTAAGACCTGTGAGGAACATTTAACTTCCTTTTCCTGCACCGGGAAGGAACAGGCCTTGGTGGGAGGTCCGGGGCGTAGTCTCTCCAGGAACAGCATCAAAGGCAAAGGCTATGCTCTCGTAGCTGGGTGGAGGCCCAGGGGGCTGGGTGCCAAGGAGCACATCTTCTGAGGCACTGTGCTTCATGTCTTCCTCTGCGGAGTTCACAGGCCATCTCAGGGACTCCTCGGCCATGGCCAGTGGGCAGCACACAGCCTCCTCATAAGTAGGGATGGCAGCCACCTTTGGTGTCCTATGGGGACAGAAGAAAGGCTGTTAGAAGGAGCTAAGGCAAAAGCCTGCTGCATGACCGGAGAACGAGGAAGGCTGGGGTCCAGAAAAACTTCAAACCCTGGTTCAAATCAGGTCTTGATGTGGTCATTAAGCCAGGGGACTACCTTAGTCTGTATACCTCCAGGAAAGCAAGTCCACCAACTCAGCCATTTTCATCTCTGAACAGCTGCAAGCCAGATCCTCAGGACATGGCAACAGTGTCCAGGCACACTCAGGCTGAGGGGAATGAGATCAGCCACCAACCTTCTGAGGACACTAGTTAGCCACTTTGAAGGGCCAAAGTTCCTCCCCTTGCTAGGACCATCTAGGTAGGGAATGTGATCAATTTTAGGCCTAGTTTTCTACTGCATTGGGGAATAAATACTCCCAGGCAGGGTGGCTGACTACTGATGTTGAAGGTCATTTCCTTCCTTGACTCTCTCAAGGGCTGGGTATGAGATTGACACAGGCTGGTTCAATGCTCTGCCACATTGTTGCTGGGAGAACATGGGTTGGAAACACATGGTCAAGCGTGGTCTCATTTTCCCTATCTGTAAAATGGGGACAAAAATGGTACTTGCTTCACAGGACTGTGTGAAACTTAAACGAGAGAATGTAAGGAAGCACTGGGCATATTATACTGGGAAAATGGGGCCATTTAATGAAAGCTCAAGGGACTCTCTGAGGAAGGGGTGAGGAAGAGAAAGCTATCACTTATCAAAGGTCTCCTGCACCTCAAGGCTTTCACATGCTGATTGATCCTTAGACAACCTGCTTCTGTACAAAGAACAGAGGCTCAAAGAGGTTGAGTCTTGCCCCAGGTTGTTAGTCTGGAGCTGGTGGGACAGCAGCTCAGTGGACACCTGTCTGTGGTCCTGCTTGCCTAGGGCATGGGAAGGACCAATGGTGGGAGGCCAGCCAGAGTCAGGAAGAAGCCTCAAGTACATGATGGACAAAGGAGAGGTGGTGAGCGAGACTTAGCTCCAGGGGCCAGTGGAGGGGCCACACCACTTTTTCTGAGAACCCTGTCACTCAGTTGGAGACTTGACCTTTCTCTCAACAATGTCTCTTTTCAGTCCAAGTTCTCCACAGTCCTCAGAGTTGCTCTCTGGGAAGTCAGGCTCACTGCTTCCATCACATACCAGGGCCACAGAGCAACTGGGTGGGAACCCCGGATTTGGGCTCTAGCATGCATAGCATCATGAGGCAGGGCACAGCCAGGTGCCACATGTGACTTCCTCTCCAGCGTCTTTCGAATTTCTCTCATGGATCCTCTCTGATTCTGCAAGACAGCCCTGGGCATGACAACTTCCACAGCTGAGGAACTAGGTAGGGGGTCTCACCCTCCACAGAGCTCCCAGCAGCCTTTGCAGGACAAAGGTTCTGTTTCTATGTGACCTGGGTGGTAGTCTCACCCTCCCTGAACCCCTTTCTCCTCATGGAGGATTTTTACAGATTCAGGAGATTTAGGATGGAGATTTTTACAGATTCAGGAGGGGGAGAAAATGAAAAAGCTTTGAAAACATTTAGAAAAATACAGAAAAGGAGAGCCCTATGTTGCTTTCCCTGCTCACCTCCCAGCCATGCCCTGGCCCTTCCGCATTAGCTCCAAGCTGAGGAGATAGGAAACAGGTTTGAACATGCCTGATGCCATCTCAACAAGAGACAGCTGGCAGGACAGGCGACAGGTGCCAGGCGAGCTCAGCCATAGCAGGAAGCTTGCTTTACTGGACAGATGTCCAGCGGCCCTCACGCCACATGCTATCATTACAGTGACCAGTGGGGCCCACCCAGCCCCAAGTCTCCCTGGTTACAGCCTAGAACACCAGCGCCTATGAGTGCTACATCCAGGGCAGCTACATTGCATACCTCCAGGAAGCACTGTTCCGGTATATTCTGATGCATTGTGCTGCAATTGTGTGTGAAACAGGCCTGCTTACCCCTATGGTCTCCACACACAAGACACTCCACTGAGGCCAGGGTGGAGCTGGGTGGTGTTCGAAGCACTGAGCCTGGTGCTACTCCACCCTTCAACTCAGTCACACAATCACAGAAAAGCAAGGGGATACTACTTGCCTGATATGCAAACTCTTCATTCTAATGCCACGGCCATGAGAACCCATTTTACAGATGAGTAAAGGTCAAGCTTCAACCAAGTAGCAGAATCTCAACTTTGCCTGAGTGTAAAGATCAAGCTAAACTCACCTGCTGTATCTCCCCAACTAGTCATTTAATCTCTCTAGCTCTATTTTCCCATTCATTAAATGGGCCAATGCCTTACACTTACCCTATAGGCAGCTAAGGTTCCATTTAATTAGTGAATATAAGAGTGCATTTTAAACTGTAAAGCACAGTACAGTAATGAAGGTGAAAGCTAACACATGTATGAACTTTTCAGTACATATACTTCTTCATCAGTCATCTCATTTGAGCTTAGCAACAACCTGAGGGGAAAGGTTCCACCATTCCCAGTTGGTAGGCATGGCTCAGAGAGTCTGTGTGACGTGTTCCAGGTCACACAGCTTATAAAGAAAGGGCAAAAACCCAGAGCACCTTCTTCTGAATTGGTCCGTGATTGCTTTGGCTGTTCCTGCTAAGGGTGGGGTTCCTGTGAGACTTTATGTCCAACCTCTTCATTTATAGACATTGAAGATGAGAGCTTCCTAAGGACAGGGATTTTGTCTGTTTTATTCACTTCTATTTTCCTAGAACCTTGAATGAGACCCAGCACAGCACCCAGAAGGTGCTCAACAAATGTTGATTAAGTGCATGAAGGAATAAATAGAAATGATGAATGGGGAAGACTTGGTTGTACCCACGCAAAACCTTTATCTAGATCAAGAGGCTGTTGTGGAGTCAAGGACTGCAGCCTCCAATATGGATTGAGGCTCAATGTCAAGAAGACAAAGATTCTCACCACTGGACCAATTCGCAGCATCAGGATGGATGGTGAAGAGATTGAATTGTACACACCTTTAGTTTGCTTGGCTCCATAGTCAACAGTCTTGGCACCAGCAGCCAAAAAATTAAAAGGCACATTGCCATGGGAAAGTCTGCTGTTAGGGACCTCTCCAAAGTACTGAAGAGCAATAGTGTCTCTCTGGAGACTAAGGTGCATCTGATACAGGCCATGTTATTCGCAATCACCTGTTATGCATCAGAGAGTTGGACAATGACCAAGGAGGATAGAAGGAGAATTGATGCCTTTGAGCTGTGGTGCTGGAGAAGAGTATTGAGAATACCATGGACTGCTAGGAAAACAAACAGATTTGTCCTGGAGAGGGTTAAATCGGGTGGCTCCTTGGAGGCAAGGATTCTGAGGCTCTGTCTAACATACTTTGGACATGTTGTGAGGAGAGTCCAGTCCTTAGTGAGGGACATCATGCTTGGGAGGGTGGAGGGACGGTGCAGGAGAGGAAGGCCCCCTATGAGGTGGATTGATTCAGTGACTGGGATAATCGGGATGGGAGTGTCAGAGACAGTGCGATTGGCACAGGACAGAGCGGAGTTTAGGGCTGTTGTACAGAGGGTCGCTATGAGTCGCAGGCGACTCGACGGCACATAACAACAACAACAACAACACATGGTATAAAATTAATAAAGGCGTGTGTCAAGGTTGTATCCTTTCTCCATACCTATTCAATCTGTATGCTGAGCAAATTATTTGAGAATTTGAATTCTACAAAGAAGAATGTGGCAACAGAATTGGAAGAAGACTCATCAATAATTTTTGTTACATGGATGATACAACCTTGCTTGCTGAAAGTAAAGAGGACTGGAATCATATGCTGCAAATGTAAAACACTCGAGCCTTCAATATGGATTGTTTATAAATGTCAAAAAACCAAAAATTCTCACCCCTGGGAGCAATAGGTCACATCATGATAGATGGAGAAAAGATTAGAACTGTCAGCAACTTTATCTTACTTGGACCCATAATCAATACACTTGCTACAAGCAGTCAGGAGATCAGGTGTCATATTGTACTGGGAAGGTCAGCAGTCAGGGATCTCTCCAAATTACTGAGAAGCAATGATGTCAGGTTGAGGACTAAGGAGCACCTGATTCAGACCATATTCTTTTTGATCACTTGCTATGCTTCTGAAAGCTAGACAATGAATAAGGATGAAAGAAGGAAAATGGATACCCTTGAGTTGTGGTATTGAAGAAGAGTACTGAATATCCTATGGACTGCCACATGGGCAGATATAGCTTAGAAAAGGTAAAGCCTGATTGCTCTTTGGATGCAAGAATGACCACACTGTCTCACATACTTTGGGCATGGTGCTAGGAGAGGACATTCCTCGGAGAAGGGCATGATGTTGGGAAAGGTGGAGGGACAGCGAGAAAGGAGAAGACTGTCAACCAGGTAGATTGACGCAATGACTGCAGCAATGGGCCTGAGTATGTCAGTAATGGCACAGGGTAGGACGAGGTTCAGATCTATTGTTCATACAGCACCTAATAACAACAATAACAAGTGGGGAAAATGAGGAGCCCTACTGTGCAAATAGTTAAGCACCTGAGTACTAAACCAAAAGATTAGCTGTTTGAATCCATCCAGAAACTCTGTAGGAGCAAGACCTGGAGATCAGCTTGCTTAAAGATTAGAAAACCAAAACAAAACAAAAAAAGCCCACAGCTGTCAAGTCAATTTTAATTCATGGCAACCTTTTATTGAGTTTTTGAGGCCATAAATCTTTCTGAGAGGAGACTCCTCATTTTTCTCCCATGGATTTGAACCACTTATCTTTTGATTAGCAGACAGAGATATTATGCACTATGTCATGCAAACTCCTTCCATAAAGCAAACTCTGTTGTAGTTCTAATCTCTGGCACAGGGTCATTATCAGTTGAAAATAACTTGGTGGCACCTAACAACAGCTGAATGGGGAAACCAAGCCCTCAAGAGGGGACAGGACCGGCCACAGTCATCAGATCAGAAGGTCTTTGTCCACAGTCAAGATCACCAGAAAGTAAGGTACTTGAGGTCAGGAACAGCAGCTTTCCAATGAGGCCCAGCCGCAGAGCTGATCCAGGCCAATCCCAGGGACAAGATAGCACCACTAGCAGGTGCAACCTCTCCAACACTCTGAGTCACCCTCTCTGCATCAATAACTTGAGTCCCAGAGCTGGATGAGGTCAAAGCACCCTGTCGACTCTGAAGTGACTTCCTTCCTGGCCTGCCCAAGAATGAGGCCAAGGTGCATCAGTCAGTTACAGCTGTGGCCTGGACTCTGTTGGATCAATACAGCTTTGTTTACAGACAACAACCTCATCCTTCTCTCTTGGGCCTGGAAAGGGAAGGCAGGACACTCACACTAGGATGAAGGGGGCAGGCAGCCTCTGACCTAGAGTATCGAGAGGCCGGGATTCAACTGAATGTTAATGCACTGTGTGACTTGGTCTCTCTGAAGCCCACATTTCCCATTTGAGAAGTTTTTGGCCATATGGTCCCAAGGCTCTGCCTTTCACTCCAATAATCAACTCAAACAAAAGTCTAAATGACCACCAGACTAAGTAGTATCCATTGGAAGCCATATCATCTTTGACCTCAAGGCCACCAGGTTGAATAACTGGTTATGCTCACAATGCGTTTTTTGTGTTTTTTTGTTGTTGTTGTTTTGGGGTTTTTTTACCTCTAACAAAGGAAAGAAGAACGTCCAGGTCTCAGATCAGTGAATGAAAACCAGAAGAATCGACATCTTTGAGCTGTGATGTTGGAGAAGAGCACTGAACATGGACGGCCAAGAGAACGAACAGCTATGTCCAGGAGAGAGTGCAGCCAGAGTGGTCTTTGGAGGCACAAATGATGAGGCTTCGCCTCACATACTTTGGGCATGTTGCTAGGAGGGGCTATTCATTGAAGAGGGACATGATGCTGGGAAAGGTGGAGGGTTGGCGAGGGAAAGGAAGACCCTCAACCAGGTGGATTGGTATGGTAACTGATGCAATGGGCTCTTGTGTGTCAGGAAGGGTGAGGATGGTGCAGGATAGAACAAGGTTCAGATCTTTTGTTCATAGGGTCTCTATGAGTCATGCTGGACTCAATGGCACCTAACTACAACAACAAGAGGCGGGAGGAAGGAGTAAGTGTGGCAGCCTGCTGGCTCTGCTACCTTCTTGTTATGTGAGCCCTGCCTGACTCTTCTATAAATGGTATTAATCATTTTTACCTTTCATGCAGGCAAAAAGACTAGGGATGACATAGATAGGCCTCTGATTGTCAGCATAAACATATTGTTAAATGAATAAGCATATCCAAAACCAAACCCACTGAGAGGATTCCCATTTATGGTGAGCCTCCACTGGGTTTCCGAGGTGGTAAATCTTTAAGGGAAGGAGACAGCCCATCTTTCTCCCTTGGAGGAACTGATAGCTTAAAACCTAAGCCCGAGTACTGTATAACAGGACAAAAAGCAGTTGATGGCTGGGGTAAGGGATGGCCTGTGATGATACTGTTTACGTATGAATCATAGCTATACATTCGGAACACAAGCAGATACATCTGTAGTAGTGACATTTTCTGCGAGTGGGTGTCAAAAAAAAGTCTATGAAAGCCCCTAAAACCAAAAACCTCACTCTCACGTCAATCCTGACTCATGGAGGTCCCTTAAGTTACAGATTGGAATCGCTCCATAGGGATATTTTCTTGGCTATAATCTTTAAGGAAGCAGATCACCAAGCCATTTTCCATGTCACTTCTGGGTTAATTTGAACCATCAACCTTTAGGTTAGCAATTGAGTGTAATCATTTGTGCCACCAGGAGAAAGAAGACTCCGTAGATAGAGGAGGGAGGAAACAATAATGAAGAAACGGGTTTTTTAATGCAAGATCTCGCCCCTCCACTTAACTCTCATTACTAGCCCATCGCTTTTCACATGTTCTTCTTCCTACCTAAAATACCTCTCTCTTCTCTCAGGAACAGCTGATTTTTCACCCACATTTACTGTCTATTTGGTACTGAGCTAGGCCCTACATGCACATTTTCTCATTTAATTCTCCCAAGAGTCTCCTAAAATCCTTGACCTTTCACTTGGATCCACAACCAAAACCCATGGTAGCAGCAATCAACATCAAATCTCACAATTTCCTCAGGAAAAAGAAACAAACTGGAAACACCTCCACCCCCTAAAAAAAACCAAAACAAACCAAAAAAACCATGTTGCACTGGGGAAATCTGCTGTCAAGGACCTCTTTAAAGTTTTAAAGAGCAAGGATGTCAGTTTAAAGACTAAGGTACACTTGATGGAAGCCATGACAATCACATGGGTGTGAAAGTGGGATAGTGAATAAAGTAAACCTAAGAACTGATATATCTTTGAATTGTGGTGTTAAACAATAATACTGACTAATCCATGGACTTTTAAAGAAACAAGTCTTTCTTGGAAAAAGTGCAGCTGTGTGTCCGTTAGGGATAAGGATGACGAAACTTTGTCTCACAAATTTTGGATGCTTTGTAAAGAAGAGGCAATCCTTGGAAACAGACATTATACAGGGAAAGGCAGACAGTTGTTGAAAGAGAAGGAAACCTTCAATGAGATGGACTGACACAATGATTGCAACAATGGGCTCAGCATGGTGTGATAATGGCACAAGATAGGGCAAGGTATCTATCTGTTGTTCACAGGGTCACTCTGAGTTTTAAGTCAACTTAACAACAAGAAGAAGTAATTCCTGAAATTAACAGCACAGCTCTGGACCGGACTGCCTGAGTTCAAGTCCTGCCTCTGATATGCCCTGACTGTTTTTCAGCAAATTACTCAATTTGGTGTCTCCTCAGTGTCCTTTATAAATGAAGCTAGCAGCCAGCAATAGTCTCTACTTCTGAGTGATGATATAAGGATTAAAGATGTTAATATATGAAGAGTATCTAGAACAGTGCCTGCCATGTGGTAAGGATTCTACACGTATTTGCTATTATTGTTATTATTGCTTTTCTTGTTTCATTTCAGATGAAGAATCCAAAGCTTATATTGCACATCCTATTTGAATTGTGGTGGAATTTCACCTCCAGTTATTGATAGAATTAGAAAACCCAAGTTGGTCTGACTCCTGTGACTGCATTCTTAACCCTTACACTGTTCAGTATCCTACTAAATAGAGCTCAGGTGCCACCTCCTCTAAGAAGCCCTCCCGGATTGCTCCATCTCTCCACAGGTCCATGTTCACCCCACTTTCACAACCCTAGCTACTATGGTTTGTTGCTAGGAAGTTTTGAACTCTTCCAAGATTGTTAGTCTAAAAAAAACAAAACCAAAAACCACCCCTCCCCCCCAAAAAAAGATTGTTAGTTTCCACACCCCAGGGCACAGGGCAAGTTCTAGTCTGGAGGAGGAATTCTGTTGAGCTAATGCCTGATTCCATGACTAGAACCCACCTGTCAACCCTACCCTACCCCACTAACCTGCAGCGCTCTTTCTCCAACGTCTCCACTGTGAGGTAGTGCAGGTCTCTGGAGAGGTGGTATGGGTCCCATTGGGGTGGCCCCCGGGTGCTGGCCTTGATGGACCAGAGCAGGCCAAAGAGCAGCAACAGGCCCCCTGCACCACAGCAGAAGAAGGTGACCGACCTGAGCAGAGGGCTGGGGCCCTCAGATGCAGGGTGCCCAGTGGGTGAGGCCAGCTGGCCAGGGTAGATCTCTGTATCCCCTTCACTCCACCATGAAAAGCAGAGTGTCCCAGCCACTAGAATCATGGTGCCACTGGCCATCATGCAATAGCGGAGGTTGGAGGCCACACGGCTCTGGTCACACATCTGGACATAAAGGAGGAGAAAGAAGAGACAGTTCACATGAAGTGCCTACTGGGTGCTGGAGACCTGAGTTTTATACTTTCTTTGCCTGAGTTCACTATACAAACTCAGGGAAGTCATGTGGCCCCACTTGCTTCCATTGCCTCATCTCTGACATGCAGATAACACTCCCAACTTTGCAGGGTGTTATCTCAGTTGTTATTATGTGCCATCAAGTTGCCTGCAACTCATAGCGACCCTATATACAACAGCCCTAAACCCTGCTCTATCCTGTGCCAATCTTATTGTCTCATTTCCCCAGTCACTGAATCAAGCCATCTCATCGAGGGTCTTCCCCTCTTGCGCCTGTCCCTCCACCCTCCCAAGCATGACGTCCCTCTCCAAAGACTGGTCCCTCCTTGCAACATGTCCAAAGTATGTCAGAAAAAGCTTCAGAATCCTTGCCTTCATGGAGCAGGCTGGTCTCACCCTCTCTAGGTTGAACCTATTTGTTCTCCTAGTAGCCCATGGTATATGCAATACTCTTCTCCAGCACCACAGCTCAAAGGCATCAATTCTCCTTCTATCATCCCTAGTCATTGTCCAGCTTTCTGAAGCATAGCAAGTAATTGGAAAGACTATGGCCTGAATCCTGTGACACTGATGTGCCAAATGTGATAATGGTGACCCATCGTGGGTAGTGTTTACTTGAGCTTCCTGATTAAAACAAGCTTGGAGGCAGGAGTGGCATCCACTTCTGAAATGGCTTGCCTCCAGAAACTCTATGAACAGTGCTCAGGCCATTTGTTCACAGGGTCACTATGAGTCGTCTACTACTCAACAGTACCTAACAACAACAACAACAAAGTGGCCTGGATCAGGCACACCTTAGTCTCTAGACTGACATCATTGCTCGTCAGTACTTTGGAGAGGTCTCGGACAGCAAACTTTCCCAATGTAATTTGTCTTTTAATTTCCTGGCTGCTGGTGCCAAGAGTGTTGACTGTGGAACCAAGCAAACTAAAGCTGTTAACAATCTCAGTCTCTTCACTATATATCACAATGCTACCAATCTGCTCAGTGGTGAGAATCTTTGTTTTCTTGAGGTTGAGCTTCAATCCATATTTAAGGCTGCAGTCCTTGACCTTCTGCAGCCAGCACTCCAGGTGCTGCTCAGTTTCAGCATCTCAGTTAGTTTAAAGGGGGGAGGCGGGAAATGCCAGGAAAATGAACCAAAAAGAAGAAACCTTGAAGAGTCTGGTACCTTGCCTTTGGACACAGAATAAGTATCTGAAATCCAGGTCTGTGTTGTTCCCAAAGCCAGCCGCTAAGAGACTGTACAAGTTGTTTTCTCTGCCTAATAACCTCACATTTTCTCTCTTTAAGGCACAGCTAAGCCTTCTCCAGAAAAACCTCTCAGAAGACTACAAACATCCAAGTCCTCAAGGCTTGACTACAGTGTTTATCTCTGTGTTGAACTTCTTCACTTGTAGCCAACTTAGATTGATGTGTTCCCTGAGATCACAGTCCAGACTGGATTAGTTTACACTTGTATACACCAGCTACATAGTTGTTGCTTTAATGTGCCATGGAGTTGCCTGTGATTCATAGCGACCCAAAGTTCAGTAGCTCTGAATCCCACCCTATTCTGAGCTAGTCTCACTATCTCCTATTCACCTATCCCCATTATCCTAGTTACTGTGTCAATCCATCTCATACGGAGTCTTCCTATCCTGCACTATCCCTCAACCCTTCCAAGTATGACGCCTTTCTCCAAGGACTGCTCTCTTCTGGCCATGTACCCAAAGTATGTCAAACAGAGCTTCAAAATCCTTGCTTCCAAGGAGCAATTTGGTTTCATCCTCTCTAGGACAAACCTGTTTGTTCTCTAGGCAATCCATGGTATGTTAAATACTCTTCTCCAGCATCAAAATGCAAAGGCATCAATTCTTCTTCTGTCATCCTTAATCATTGCCCAGCTCTCTAATGCATAGCAAGTAATTGCAAAAATCTTCTAGACTGTTGCTTTTCAGTACTTTGGCGAGGTCCCTGACAGCAGATTTCCCTAATGCAGCTTGTCTTTTGATTTCCTCACTGCTGGTATCAATAGTGTTGATTGTGGACCCAAGCAAATAAAAATTGTTAACAACCTCAATCTCCTCTTCATCTATCACAGTGTTGCCAATTGGCCCAGTGGTGAGAATCTTTGTCTTCTTGATGTTGATCTTCATACTGAAGACTATAGTCCTTGATGTTCTACAGTGAACGCCTCAGATCCTCTTCAGTTTCAGGAAGCAAGGTTGTGTCATCTGCATAAAGCAGGATGTTGATAAGTCTTCCTCCTCTGTTCTGCATACAGGTTGAAAAGGTATGGAGACAGAACACCTTCCTGATGCACTCCTTTTCATGATTTTGAACCATTCAGTGTTTCCTTGCTCTGTTCTGATGACTGCTTCCTGGTCCAAGTATAGGTTTTGCACGAATGAGCACAATCAAGTGTTCTGGGATTTCCATTCTTCTCAAGGTTAGCCACAATTTGTTGTGACTCACACAGTAAGGTATTTACCTTTGCAGTCTATGAAGCAGATAGACATTCCTCTGGTACTCTTTGATTTCAGCCACGATCCATATGACATTGGTAGTAATATCTCTAGCATCACAACCTCTTCTAAATCCAGCTTGTATTTCTGGCAGTTCTCTGTCAATGTATTGTTCCAGTGTTTGGGGGTAATCTTCAGCAGGATTTTGCTTGTGTGTAAGATTAGTGATATTGTTCAACAATTTCCACATTATCTTAGGTCACTTGTGTTTTAAAATGTGAATAAATATGAATCTCTTCCAGTCAGATGACCAGGTAATTGTCCTTCAGACTTCTTGACACAACCCGGTGAACGTGTCCAGGGCAGAATCTGTTTGTTGAAATATATCAATCAGTATTTCATCAATTCCTGGGGCCTGTTTTTTGTTAGTTCTTTCAGAGCAGCATGCACTTCCTCCTTCATCATCATTGCCTCTTGATTAGACATTGTTTCATGAAATGCTTCTGTGCCAGCCAACTATTTTTGGTACAGTTACTGTGTACTCATTTAATCTTCTTTAATCTTCCTGGATCATTCAATACTCTGCCCATAGCATTCTTAAATATGGCAACTCAAGGCTTGAATTTGTTCTTCATTTCCTTCAGCTTAAGAAATGCCAAGCAAGTTCAGCCCTTTTGATTTTTTGATTCCAGCTTTTTGCATATTTCATTATAATACTTTGCTTTGTCTTTCTGATCTGCCCTTTGAAATCGTCTGCTCAGGTCCTTCCTTCACTTCCTGCTTTCTTCCCTTTGCTTTGACTTCTTGGCACCCTAGTTAGCAAACATTTGTTGAATAATTTCTTGAAAGTGAAAGTAGTATTGCTAGGAGTTAGGGACTGAATTGTGTGTCTTCCTCCCAAAATTTGAATCTTAACCCCCACATCTGTGGATGTAATCCTATTTGGGAATAGGGTTTCATGCTGCATTGCTCAGTGGAGGGTATGTCTTTAGTTAATCACTTTTGAGATATACAATCAGCAGATTAGGCACATCAGCTAGGGAGCACAGCTGGGCAGATAGATGTCATGCCATGTGAACATCACCAAGGATCTAAGGACTAGAAGCAAAATAAAGAGCCTTTTTTCCTTCCCCCAAAGCTGACAGAAAGAAAGCTGCCTGAATTCAAACATTGCCTCCCTAAAGGGAGTGCTGAGGGCCTAATGGTAGGTAATTGCGCTTCCAAAGACATTTGGTTCAAATCCAACACCTGCTGCTTAGGAGAAAAACAGGCAATCTCCTTTCATACAATTTACAACTTCTGAAAACCTGCTGAAGTGTCAGCTATGAGTTGGTTCCAACTTGATGGCCCATAACAACAATAGCTTTCTTAAATGTGAGAAAAAAACTTCTGTTTGTTAAAGTCCCCCACTTGTGGTACTTCTGCTGTTGTTGTGTACCGTTGAGTCAGAACTGACCCATAGCTGACCCTCCAGTGGGTTTTCAGAGGCAGTTAATTGCACGGAAGGAGATTGCCCATCCTTCTCCCACAAAGTAGCTGGTGGCTTCAAACTGCATGCCTTTGGGATTGCAATGCAGCTTCTTGCCAATCCAAAGTCAATTTTAATTCATAACTGACCTTATAGAACAGAGTAGAATTGCCCATGAAGTTTCTCCCAAGAAGGACCTGGTGGGTTCAAACCACTGACCTTTATGTTAGTAGCCCAGTGCTACAAGGGCACCACCAGGAGTCCTTATATTACAATAGCACAAGAAACTAAGACATTGGGAAGGGTTTGTTGAGTGGAGAGCTTTCCTTTCAGCTGAGAAGAACTGGAAGGGTACAGGGGCAATCACACAGCGTTCCAGCTGCTTCCGGTGCAGAGTCTCATCTCTGGTCCCTCCTCAGCAGTTCACCAGCTGTGTCTGTGAGAAAGCCTCACTGCTCAGGCCTTCTGTTTCCTTAGCAATGAAAGGGAACTCTCTCTAACAGGCTGCTCAAAGAATTTGTGGAGTAATTCTTATCCATATTGAAATATTAGATTCTCAACAAAATTATGCTGTGAGAGAAGAATTCTCTTTTCTTCCAAAAGCGGAGTAATTAAAACAGGGGATGGGGAGCTCACAGACCTTCATGGAATCTTCAAGGGTCAGAAATGCTTTCCAAATAGGGGCTTGTCCAGCCAAGGTGGCAGCTCCAATTGATGTCTACTGTGCAGTCATTCTGCATCTAAGGGAGCTGAAACACAAAATAGAACATTCAAGATTCATTAAGAAAAATTTCAGACGTCAAAAGGACATGTGTGTGTGTGTGTGTGTGTGTGTGTGTAAGAAAGAGAGAGAGAGAGAGAGAGAGAGAAACAGACAGAGGGTTGGGGGAGAGAGATGGTCTGCATATAACAAGGGTTCACTCCAAATATATCTGACTCCTCAACTTACTGGAAGCGTGAGGATATATTGCCTTTTGCACATGACATTCTCTTTACCTGTGAGTCTGTCTTTGGGA